CCGGCATGGTTACGTCAGCCTCGGGTCCCTGCGCTGCAATTGGCCCACTCCGGCCGCTCGCCTCCGCCTCCTGCGCTGCGATTGGTCAGCGCGCGGGGCCCCGCCCCATTTTCCTGGAAAGTTCTTGGAAATCTGTCAAAGGTGTTTTCCTTTAGAGGCCCACGGCCCCAGACGCCGGAGTCGACGCCCCAGCCCGCGCCCCTCCGCTGCTTGGCTGTACAGCCGGCGGTTCTAGGAAGACGTCGCTTCCGGGAAGGGCTGGGACACAGAGGACAAAAGATTAGGCGGCTCGCCCCGCCTCGCCCTCCCGGCCCGCCCCCTGCGCTCTCCCAGCCTGCGGGCGCCGCCGCCGCTCAGTTCCTGCCCGCCGTCTGTGCGCCCTGGTTGCCTGCCCTGCGAGCGCCACCTGCGCCCACTGGCTCTCTCCAGCCGCCGCCGTCCGGCCGAGCCCCAGCTCCCGAGCTGCCGCTGCTGCTGCCGGGACATGGTCCTCTGCGTCCAGGGGTAAGCGCGACTCTCCGCCTGCGCCCAGCCTCCGTGCCCGGGACACTGAAGAGTGCCGGCCTCGTGCTAGCTGCCGGTTATTGAGAGGGCTTGACGGGTAGGAGATGCCCGAGCGTGGAAGGACCTCCGGAGTGACAACAGGGGATGGTGACAACACCGTCACCACCTCTGCTTGCTCTGTAGATAGGGAAACTGGGGGTCAGCTGGCGACAGGAGGAACACAGGGTTGGCTAAGCCTGGGTTCTGCCTGGAGCAGGTATATGCCAGTGGCAGCGCGACCTCCAAGACGTGGCTCATCTGCCCAAACCCTCTTCTGGGCCCAGAGAGCTCTACTCTAGCCTGCCGGCCCTGGGCCTACTGGTGACCTTGAGCCAGACCCTGCCCCTCTTTGTCCTGTCATCCCTCTCCTGCCACGGGCTAGCAATTAGGATCTTCTTCGGCTGGGAACCAGCCTGAGACCCTTGCCTCTCCTTAGACTGGTATCTGCTGACCAGCAGCTCCTGGGAGAGCCTGGTTTGGCCTGGTCCTGCCTGGGCCACCCCCACAAATGCCTCACCCCTCCTCTCAGCCCAGTCTGGGATCTCGCCTCCCTTCTCCAAGTTTCTCAAAGACTTGCAGGGGAAGGAGGGGTGGCTGATATGACAGAGGCTTGGCCTCGCCTGAACATTCTTGGCACATTCCTTCAGCCAAGAGCCCCAGCCTCGCCTTCAACCAAGGGTTCTGACACTCTCCAGACTGATCTGACAGGAGCTCAGAAAGCCCCAGGGAGAGCTGGGTGGCCCCGTGGCTACTGTTATCACAACTGGGTGACACCAAGTGAGGAAGGGTGGAAGGTGGGGCGAGGCTGAAGTGCCCCTTGCCCTTTGCTCAGAGCTGTTCTGTTTCCAGGGAGGAGACCTGGAGGTGTTGGGGAGACTGTACCGTACTTCCCCGCATCGTCTCCAGCATCTCCCTTCCTCCCTCTGAATTCTGGGACTCCTGAATCCCTGACCACCCCTCACTACTGCCTTCATCCTCAGACCCCACCCCGAATTCTGGGGTCACATACCCTCTTTCACTTTGTTCCAGCTGAACCTAGGTGTCAGGGAGCAAAATTTTAAGACCTACACACACACACACAGCCACAGAGAGCTCGTGCCCTCCTGGGGTTGGGGCAGGGGTTCCCCACTGTAGGTTTGGGCTGCCAGCTTTGCCAAGGGGTTCCACCCTCAGGGCTGAGTTTGCCCCACTGGCATGTGTTCCCAGATGAGACTCACAGGCTGGGCTTCACAGCAGGCACACACACGTACAGGCCACCCACACCTGGAATGCACCAGCCACTGCCTCCGCCACAGATGACACAGCCATGGACACACCCCTCCCCAGAAACACAGTCACTCACCAGGAGCGTGTGTAGCCTAATACGGCCATTCACACACCCAGACACCATATCAGCCCTAGAGGTGCCTGTACCCACATGGGCCCTGCCAAGTTGTCTAGACATGGCCACCCCTAGGGGCCTGACTGGCCAACTCCCTACCATGCTGGAAGATTCCTAGACCTGAGTTGATCTCTGAGGCCCAGCAGGCACGTCACCAGCCATTTCCTTGGAATTTGGCCCCTGGCTCCCTGGGCGGGATCCCAGAGCCCCCATAGTACAGCTAGAGCGGGTGTGGAAAAGTATTAGGCAGACCGTGCTGTGCCAGGGTCTTGTGGCCCCTTCTGCTCATGAAAGGTCATGGGCCTAATGTGTTAAAATCTTCTGAGCCCTTGCTATTGGCTCTGGCTTCTGCCACCGGCTCCTGTGCCCACCTCTTCCTGCCTCATGAGCGATGCCTGACATTGTATCCATGCTGTCATCTCTGCCCGGAGTGCCTTTCCCACTAGTCCTTCCTTTGGCCTGGCAGACTTGGTTCAGGAGCAGGGAGACCCTGACGCCCCCAGACATCTTTTGCTTTAATTATTGAGTTATAAGTTCTCCTTGAGGGTTGGGCCCATAGTTTCACATCTTGGTGTTCTGAGGCCCCGAAGAGGACCAGACCCAGAGCTGAGGCCTAAGGATGTATTTTGTAAGGAGCAAGGGATGACCAGCTGTCCCTTCCTTGGGAACCAGGGTCACGTCCCTTGCTCCCAGGAAGCCCAGGATTACCCTGCTGAGCGGGCTTCCCCTGGTGAGAAGCTAGGGGTCAGATCGGGGCCTGCTCAGCAGCCCAGCTCCAGCCAACTTAGAACGTGGTATGGCCAAAGCCCTTGTCTGGGTCGGTAGCCCCCTCATTGAGATGGGGAAGCAGTCCAAGTGAAGAGCAAGGTTTGCGTAAGATTGTAGAGCCTAGCAGGGCTGGTCTTCAGGCTGGGGTCTAGAATGCAGGATGAGCCCCTACCCTCTGGCAGGAGCTCATATTTATGGGAGGTGGGACTTGCCAGTCCCTTTAGAGGCCATTGCTCACCCCAGACCCTCAGCTGGGAGAAGCAGAGTACATGATGGGTGGCTGACCTGTTTAAGCCCTGCCCAGTGTGGACCTAGGACCCCCAGCAGACACTCTTATCCATGGGGAGGTAGTATGTAACCTCAGGTCTCCTACCACAATCGTGGGCCTTCCTGGAGGACCCCACATAGGCCCATCGCATTGCTCAGCCAGGACCAGTGCCACTTAATCACCCTACCTCAGCCAGGAGGGCACCAATGTGAGGCTTCTTTGCACTGGATCCTTTCAGTGTGGTGGGGTCACCAACTGACCCCTGTGAGCTAGAAATGCCTATGGAGAGTGATCTGTGGTTTTCATTGGTGCAAAATAGAGAGATTACTTACTATTTCATGAATGCAGGAGGATGGAGAAGTCCCTTTCAAAAGAGAACCCACATGTGGGGAAAGCAATCCAGGGGACTTCTGTGATGACAAGTGGGAGGTGGGGTATAGGACTCAGTGAGCCCGTGGGTAGGCAGAGGGGAAGCTAAGGCTCATAGTGAGATGGACTGGCCAGAGGTCATGTAGCAAGTCTGGGGTGCAGAGGGTCTCTGGAAATGGGGAGAGCACAGGGTCTCCACTCACCATCAGTCCACTCCCTTCTAGACTTTGTCCTTTGCTGGCTGTGGAGTGGATCGAGCGGCGGCCCCTGTGGGCCCAGCCCCTGGAGCTGCCTGAGCCAGCTATGCAGCCTTTGCCTGCTGGGGCCTTCCTGGAGGAAGTGGCAGAGGAGATCCCGGCCCAGTCAGAGAGTGAGCCCAAGGTGCTGGACCCAGAGGAGGATCTGCTGTGCATAGCTAAGACCTTCTCCTACCTTCGCGAATCCGGTGAGTCTGAGGACGGGGGCAGGCCTTGTCTCGGGAAGTCAGAAAGGGGAAGCTTCACTCTGCCTGTTAAGTCTGATTTGAGAGGCCTGGCCCTGCCCAGGAGAGCCTGATAGGAGAGGTACAGCACTCCCCAGGGAAGCGTGACCGGAGCGGGGCAGAGCCCTGCCCTGCCCCGGATTGGTGCCTCCAGCTAATTTCCACTGTGACCGTTCTCTCGGCCCCCTCTCCACTTGCCTAGGCTGGTACTGGGGTTCCATTACGGCCAGCGAGGCCCGGCAGCACCTGCAGAAGATGCCAGAGGGCACATTTCTAGTGCGGGACAGCACCCACCCCAGCTACCTGTTCACGCTGTCTGTCAAAACCACCCGAGGCCCTACCAACGTGCGCATTGAGTACGCCGACTCCAGCTTCCGCCTGGACTCCAACTGCCTGTCCAGGCCACGCATCCTGGCCTTCCCAGATGTGGTCAGCCTGGTGCAGCACTACGTGGCTTCCTGTGCTGCTGACACCCGGAGTGACAACCTTGACCCTGCCTCAACTCCGGCCCTGCCCGTCCCCAAGGAAGATGCACCTGGTGACCCAGCGCTGCCTGCCCCTGCGGCCACTGCCGTGCACCTGAAACTGGTACAGCCCTTCGTGCGCAGGAGCAGCACCCGCAGCCTGCAGCACCTGTGCCGCCTGGTCATCAACCGCCTGGTGGCCGACGCGGACTGCCTGCCGCTCCCCCGGCGCATGGCCGACTACCTCCGACAGTACCCCTTTCAGCTCTGACCCGGCCAAGCATCCTCCTCACCTCACCCAGCCATCCCCTGGAGGGGACACTGGCCCCAGCTGGACTTGGGCTCTCACTATCCTCCTCCAGTCATCCTGGTACCCGCGTGCATCTGGCAGCTGGACCAGGAGGAGTCAGCAGGAGCGAGGCCGGGGGTGTCACACAACTTAGAAGTCACGCCCCCTGCTCCCATGTGGCTCCATTGTGGTGAGCCACATGTCAGAAGAGAGGGAGACAGGCAAGACCTCATCTCACCCTATGGGCCGAGCCCAGGCTCACTTGCCTGCTGTGGCCTCCCGAACTGTGTAGACTTTGCGAGCCCTGGTTTCCCAGTTCGCAGGATGGGGCGGGCCCCCTCCTTCCAGCCCGCCTTTCTCAGGAAGGATGGTGGCCAGAGGAACTGAGGTTGACAGTGACAGTCCGCTGGTGGGGGAGCAGACCGGGCTGGGGACTGCACAATTACACAGTATTTATTTTATTTATTCTCCTTGGGTTAGTCTCAGGGTGAGCCAACCCCAGCTCTCCACCCTGAGCTCCGTGCTCCAGAGACGCCGGCTCTGCCCCAGCTTTTCTAGTTCCTCCCTCCAGAGAGCTCCATCCTGAGACAGGTTGCTGGACCCAAGGCAGTTGTGGATGTCCCAGCATTGACCCCCCTATCTGTGAATGTGTTCACTCTCTTCTGCCCCAGCCCTGTTTTGGGAGGGTGAACAAATGGACAAGAAAATGGAGCCAAAGCGCCAGCGCCCGGCAGAGCCTGCCCCTCGCCTGCTGGCAGGGCAGAGCCCTATCTGCACAGAGCTGGTCTCTCTGAGGCTCAGGCCTGCTTGAGCGCATGTGCTGGGTCAGGAGGGCATGCAAGGGCCGCTGCCCACTCTGCCAGGTCTGCTTTCTGCCCAGGAAGATGCCTGCCATGAGAAAGGAAAAGAAATACATATCTGATAAGATTTTATAAAATAATTATTGTAATCAAAAAAAAAAAAAAAAAAACAGCAGTTTGGTAGCCATTTTCCTTCCACTGATTTTCCTGTAATGACATTAAAATCATACCTTTTATTTGTGGAGCCTTGAGTGGGTCCTCTTGAGTTCTAGAAATAGTTTGTCCTTTTGATCTTATTACCATTTTATTATCACTTTATGTCTGAGTCAGCAGAGGCCTGGGGACCCGATGTGGCTGAGCAGGCCCTGCCAGGGAACCCACTGAAGAGCAGAGGGGTCAAGGAACAGCCTTTCTCCTCTCAGTTTCTCTTAGAGGATGGGAGGCAGGAGGTGAAGGCCAGCTAGACTGCGTACAGGGTCACTGCCCAGGCCACTGCCTGCCAGGTGGGGGGTGGTGGCAGAGGAGCACCAAACCTGAGCACAAACCTCCTATAAACAGGAGATGCCAATAAAAGATTAAAAGTGGAGAATTCTGGGAGGATGGATGCTCTGGACCACTCCCAGGACAGCATCTTCTGAAATGAAGAGGTCAACAGTCAGAGAAGTCGAGGCCAGTCATCCGGGGGAGAAGGCACAGGGAGTGCCGAGGCACCGGGGTGTGACTGGGAAGCTCAACCACGGGGAGGCCTGGCTGGGGCTCATTCTGTTCAGTGGGGCCAAACAATTGAGTTGGGGACGATGGCCAGTAAGCCAGCAGGGTCTTGCCTGAGGTGGGGGCTTGTGGAGTTCTGGCCCAGGCTTGTCGGGGTTGGGGGGCCCTCTCCTCTCACTTAGGGTCCTGCACACCAGAAGTGGGTGGAAGAATGATTAAAATGGAAACACCGATAGCCTGACGGGACCATTACAGCCCCTGGAATCGCACTAGGTCCTGACATTTTCTGCACCTTTACTCAACTACCTCACGGAAAAGCTCCTCAGAACCTCATTCATAGCCTTCTAACCCTTAGTTTAGAAGTTGTTTTAGCTTCCTGTTTTCTTAGCCTTTAGATAATTCGAAGTTGCAGGTTAGACGAGGCATTGGCAGATTGAGAGCAAGAAGGTGTGAGGTGTGACATGTTGATGACAAGGATAACGAGCAAGAACTCTGGAGGCCCAGAACCTTAGTCGATATTAGGTGAGCACGAGCCGAAGGTGGGTAAGGGGTCCTTACTGGGAGTGGTGCCTAGGCCCAGGTGTATATTCTCAACCTCTCTGCCGCTGGCCGCAGGGCCTGAGGGCACCCCTCGTCCAGGTCATCATGCCCCTGCCAGGGAGGCCTGCAGTTCCTCATTGCTTCAGCCTGGCTCTTAGCCCCCTTCTGACTCCCAGAATGCCTGAGGTGACTCTTCTGTCTGCTCCCGGATATGAGTCACCCAGTGGGAAGGCAGAGGACACGGAGGGGCCAAAGGCAGGCTGTCCCCACCTGGTGCTATGGCCTGGACAGAAAGCTTCGTGGCCAGAGAGTCAAGAAACTTCATTGTCCACAGAGGGGAGACATCTCGGGGTGCCGGCTAGGTGCTGATAATGGATGAGGCTCATGTAGTGCTCACCATACCCCTGGAGTGGATCTAAATACCATTCATACTCCACAGATGAGGAAACTGAGTTCCAGAGGGACAAGGGGCAGGCCAAAGAAGTGAGGCACAGAGCAGGGCGAGCCCCGAGGGGTCCCGACTTCCTATCTGCCCCTGGACTGCCACATAAAACGGTGAGGACGGGCAGCTGGGGAGGTAGCTTTCAGGCAAGTTGCTCTTGGATGTGGGTTTTATTCCTCTGAGTCTCTGCCTGCTAAGGTCTCTGGAGCCACTGGCCCGGCCAGCAGGCTCTTCTCTTTTTAACCCTCTCCTCAACTCAAGCCAGGGGCCAAGCTCATGCCTGGGGAGGGGCCGCCAGCTACTTTTGACCACCAGTATTTTTCTGCTCTGATCTTATTTTCACGTTTCCCTGTGGGGGAAGTGAGCAGTGCCTGCCCAGAAGAGGGACAGTGGGCAGCATGTCATTAGGTCCCAGAACCAAGATAGAAACCCAGCTTAACAGATGCTGAAAATCCTCTGGTCCATAAGTCACCCCTGGGTGGTCCTGGGCTAGTGAGAGGGGTGCGCTCTGCCAGCACCCGCCGGGGAGGAAGAGAAGAGCCATCCAGTGGGTGCACAGGACTCCGCACAGCGTACAGTGGCTGATGGTGATCTATAGTGATTAAGTCCTTTACCAGCTCACATGCTGCTTGGCCTCCTGCCCCCAGGCCGCGTGGGACACAGCAGGGAACAAGATGGCCATGGTGCCATCTGTAGGAGGTTCATGGGCTGGTGGGTGAGAGATAATAAACAAGAGGACGAATGGGCACTCGGGACAAATTTGAGAGTAAATAGAGCAAAGCGGAGGACGGGGTAGAGAGTGGCTTTGGGTGTGCGGATGCCGCCGCAGGTGGGAGGACCAGGGAAAGCTCCGGAGCGGGGTGGCCCTGACTCTGGACACCGAGGAAAGAGCAGGAGCTGGCTATGCCGACAATTTAGGGCAAACACATAGCAGGTGGCAGGGACCACGAGGACCGTGGTGCTGAGTCAGGAACAGACTTGGTGTCACAGGAGTAGTGAGTCTAGAACGGCCGCCCGGGGCTGGAGATCGGGTCAGGGGGGAGGCCTCTTCAGAGTTTAGCAGGGAGATGCTCTGATACAACGTTCATTTCTAAGGGCGGACCTGTCACCTGGGCGGGAATGGCCCCACGGGGCCTGAGGACAGGAGGCCAGAGGAGGTTGAGAGGTGTGGGATAAGCAGGGTGGGGTGGGTAGTTGTGGGAGGAGGCAAGGGCGCAACTTGGTGATCCTGGGCGGATTCATGCTCCGTTGAGTTCCCAGGGCAGCCTTGCACACCGGCAGAGGTTTGTCCCCATTTACAGCTGAAGAGGTAAGACTTAGAACTGGTGGCTTTTTTAGGGTCACATGGCTTGGAAGGGGCAGAGCCAGGGTTCAAACTCTGACTCGAGAGCTTGTGTGTGTACCCGCTGCTCTGTTCTGCCTCCCAGAGGATAGCAAGCTAAAGCTTTGGCACTCACAAGGTGCTGAGGGCATGTAGAAGGGGCGGGGAGATTCAAGAGGCCTTCCTGGAGGAGGGGGTAGGGGTTGGGGCTGGAGGCTGGGCCCTGGACGATTCTGCCAGGCCATGAGGACGTGGGTTTGGAGATTGATCCTGTGTGGTGTGCCTCCCTGGACTCACAATACCCCTCTGGAACAATTTTGGGGACAGAGATCTTGCTGGGATGCTTTACCATGATTACTGAGTGTATTAACACCCCCTGGATCATGAGGCCTCTGCACCTGGGCCTGGTTTTTCATCTGCCACCTGAACAAATCTTATTGGGCCAAGGCTGAATCCAGGTCTGAATGGGGCTGGGGGCATGGCCAGGCTGGCTGCACTCTCAGAGATGAATCCCCCCACGCAGCCCTGCACAGCCACCCACAGTGAAGTAGAGGGGCCAGGGCCCTGAATAGGCCTGAAAGAAGGCAGAGGCTTCTGGGGACCTCACAGAGGCCCTCTTCCTCCAGGAGAAGTGAAGCCAGTGAAAGCCTGAGCAGTGCTTTCATTCCAACCTGTTAGACCAGTTTCAATATAAATCAGGTTGGAGCTTTGCCAGAAATTCAGCGGCTATGAATGTGTCCTCCCCAGCCCTGACTGCAGGGTATGGGGCTAGCCACAGAGTCAGCCACCCAAGAGGCCACTCCAGTAGTCACGCTGGGGCAGCAGGCTGGGGCTCCCGTGTCTGAGACTTGAGACAGAGGAGGCCCCTGGAACTTTCACCCTCCTAACTCATCCCCACGCCCTGGTTTTACCCCAACTTGGTGCACTTGCTTCTGGGGACTTTCCCTCAATCTCACCCGGAGACTGACAGCACTTCTCTCAGAGGAAACATGGGGGGGGCCCAGGGGGATTTTGAGGAGATGCTAAGGAAAGCCTGATGAGTTTCAACGTGTCAGCTATTGCAACTGTCATTGTAACTAATCCTTGTCCGTTTCGATCCCATTTGAGAGGGGGCCTGGGCAGGTTTTGATGTCCCCTGAGGTCCCCGCATGGGCTGCAAGCCAGCTGGGCTGGAGCTCCTAAGCCCATCAGCTCTGTCACTGCCTCCAGGCCCAACTCTCCAGCCTCAGGCATCCACAGTCTTGGGTTCTAGTCCGAGCGAACAGACTCTTTGGATTGGTCTCTGTGCGAATCGGGGTGAAGGTGAGTCCAACCCAACCTTCTAGCAACTTCTTTCCCAGCTCCAATAGAAACTAGGCCATCTGCTACCCTCGCCCCAGACCCAGGGATGGGTCTCTGTCAGGCCTGTTACCTGCCCAGCCCTCAGTGGTCCGTGCCCTCCGGGGTGAGTCACTAGTGAGGGAGGTGAGCTGGGCAAGTGCCCCTAGACCTGTCCCATCTCAAAGATGAAAACCGAAGACCCAGAGGGGCAAAGTCGCTTGTCCATAGCCACCCGGGGAAGAAGTGGGCATAGGAGGTTTGAATGCCAGGCCAGAGAGCTTGTCCCCCTCGCCCCAGAACTCATGACCTAGACTCTGCTCCCTCAGAGACTGAGCAGAGAAGGTCAGTGGGCGAGACGGTAAAGAGCACAGAGAGAGAGACACAGAGGGACCCAGAGAGACTGAGAATAAAGGCGGTGAGAGGGACCCCGAGTGTTCCATTCTGGGACGTAAATTTATATATCATGTTTTAGTTCCTGTGAGTTATGGTTTAACGACTTTGTTTACCTATTTCCTTTGATACGCACATACCGTGAGGAAGGGCAAGAGTTTGTAGCGTAAAAGGCTTGCCAGCCTTTAATCCTTAGGTTTCCCACGGTTTTAGCCGTAGGAAATGAAAGGATTTTATTTTGTGGAGGGCAGCCATTTAGAGACTCTGTTTTCCCCTCCCAGTGTGGGAAATGGGTTGTCAGCCATCCCAGCAGAAATTTCCTTCTGTTCTGCAGCTGCCCCTGTGGCCCTGCTGCAGAGCTGATCAGCATATTGCAGTCTCCGAACGCAGCTTGATTTACCATTCTGATTCTCTTGCCTCCTCTGTACATTCGTCCCTCCCACGCTGCCCTCCTGCAGCCTCCATGGCTGCCTTGCCCAGATCTAGCCTTACTATCACTCACTCACCTGGCTGGACCATC